TTTTTTTTTTTTATTGCTAGGATACATTTTAGGTGGTCAGAGACAGCAACTTCAGAATGATTTAGTGCTGATACGTCGGCGCGCCACCAAAGTGCTTTAATTGTCTTGGGCTCTCGCTTATTTTCTACACTCAGGGCTCTCCATCTGTTAGTTAATAGAAGCAGGAAGCCAACTTGCTAATGAGTAATATGTCTCCATTAAGCGTAATTACTCTCGAGTACGAAGGGATGACAAAGTAGGTGACTCATCAATGGCTCATGGTGATACTAGTCATGAAGAACTCAACACCACGTGACATTTGAAGGTGGACGCTTTTGACTTGATTCAGGCCGCCTCGGGCTCTAAAACCTCTGACATTGGAAAAATTATTGCTTGAACAGCACTGCACTGACGTTTTTTTAACTACAATTCTGCTATTACGCCCATGTGACTATTAAACTATTATTTAATGTAATCTTTTGTGTTTAGTATCATCTATGATTAAGAGAACGAAAATGAAAAACAGCAACAAAAGGCATCTGAATAAGTCACATTGAAAGTTTTTGTATCAGACCGTGGTGGGAGCACCATACACGTTTATCACTTCCCTGCAAACCGTTTGTATCCTTTTTACTTCATGTCATTCTAGAGTCAGCCCTGGCCGTGTCGGTGAGCAGCCCGGTGAAGCGCTATGTGGTCATCCTGTTCCAGCCCGTCACGCTCACCTGCAACTTCCAGACCACCGCCTCGCAGCCGCCGGTGGTCACGTGGCGCTACAAGTCGTACTGCCGCGACCCGGTGCAGGCGGCGCTCAACCCCAGCAGCGCCGACAACATCCTGTCGCAGAATAACCCCAACTACGACCCCAACATCGAGTGCGCCGACAGCCAGCGCACGGTGCGCATCGTGGCCTCCAAGCAGGGCAGTGCCGTGACGTTGGGCAGCGAGTACCAAGGACGCAAGATCAGCATCATCAACAGTGAGTGCGAGACGCAACACATTCTTCTTTCAGCAGGTGCAATGACATACTGAACAAAATGTTGATAATGGGATTCTATTGTTCCTTATTAAGCGTGAAGCAAAAATGTTTTGCATTGTCCTAATAATAAACATTAAAAAATAACCTGCAGTTTAATTATGGTGGGGAAAAAAATTCTGTCTTCAGATTTCATATTTCATTTTTTTAGATTTACGTGAACATGGATTTTTTTTTCCCTAAAATTATTAAATTCCCCGAAGAGACAACAGGTCGACGGCAGTGCATTTTTCTGATCCTATGAACCTCCAACAGTCACGTTTGCCAGAAGCGTCCTCGCTTTGTCTGCCACTAGCTAACATGTGTTTTCCTCAACTTCTTTTCTTGTGTTCTCACTGCCAGATGCTGACCTGAACATTGCACAGACGGCGTGGGGCGACAGCGGGGTCTACGTGTGCTCTGTCATCTCCTCGCAGGACCTCTCAGGCAATGGCGAGGACTACACCGAGCTCATTGTCTTGGGTAAACGCCAATCAACTGCTTCTTACTACTGGCCTTCTCTTCCCTTTGCTGTACCCCGACCAAAATACACTAATAGGAGAAAAGGTGTGAGCCGCG